CAGAGTTTACCAAAATTGGTGCGTGTATGGTTTACAGCTGGAAGTTAGCCTGCCTCAGTGGACGTCTGTTGGTGTCTCAGCTGTAGATGAGCAATTTAGCCAGTGCGGTACAGCGTACAGCCGCAAGCCCGAGTTTTTAACGTGCGCCCCGCAGTAGTGGTGGTACAACGAACGCACGCCGGGACGATGTTCGTCCAGATCGAAACGAGCAAGGGTGGGGATAGACCATTTGCTATGTTACCCAAGCATCAAGGAGAATGCAGGGATTGGTATACCACGCGCCACACGCGCACGCCTTCCCCGCAGAAGATTCGAAGTAACTAACCGAAATAAAACGTTGACGAACGCGCGTGCATGATGCCCCTTGCATGATGCCCCTTGTTTTAGGTATTTGCTTTAGAAAAGTTACTACTGCTGAGGCCAGCACGTGTGGCGCGTGGAACACCAATCCCTGCATTCTCCTTGATGCTTGGGTGATATAACAATAGGTCTACTTAGGGTGGGGTGGTCTATTGAGCCCAGCATCCTTGGTCTCTGCAGCGCGAGCTTTCGCTCCATGTGCCCCCAGCTGCTCATTACATGACCATTACAAACACCGTTGACCTTGTCGTTTGCAAGGTAATAGCATCACGAGAGGGAACCGTAGGAGGGCGCCACCAAAACATCTCCAGGCTAACAGAACCGAGTGCGGTAGTGTCTCACAAACAGGTAGACAAAAAAGATGAGAACGACAGGGAGGAGCTTCGTACCTTCGGCGAGCGGATGCTGGGGCTCGGGCGTCCGAAAGACATGCCCTGCCGACGGCTGCCCTTCTCACGCTTTCACTGACGGGATTTCGTCCACCATGCCGAAGGCGTGCCGAAAGCGAGCATTTCAAGGATTCACATGTCGAAGGAACGAAGAAACAATGCTTCTTGTCGGGCACGTAGCCAGGATTTTGTTTCGGAGGGGAGGGAAGAGGGGGGGCGCCCATGACAAAAGCCTGTATGAGGGGAAAGGGGGAGAGGTTGTCCCAGCAAAATGTAAAGGAGCGGTGCAACGATATTCAATTGGAATGTTTTTCACTTTACACGAGCTTACTGGCACTAGTGGGACTCAAGGATACTCGCACGCAACGCCACTGGCCAAGAAACGCCTTTGTTGCGGTGTAATTTCAAGGACAAAAGCGATCATTTTCATTCAATCTCTCCTTTGCAAAGTTTGATGACGTAACGTGGGGATCGCAGTACACCCAAGTGACGATATTTGAATGCGGTTCATAGATTGGACCCGAGCATTGCGTGGACACTCGATTTGGGCTCGTGAGAATCGATAGCTCGAGAAGCATTCGGGTAATGGCCCATGTCCAATCGCTGCAACGACGACAATAGCCGAGCTATAACAATGTCTGGAACTCAGCGCGTGTCCAGTGCTTTGCCAACCCCGGCGCGTGGCTATGATGAACATTGGCGGCATATAATCGGCTCCAGATCACGCGGCCGCTTGTTCTGGCTGCGAGTTGAGGGGGTGAACGCTGCTCGTTTTTCTGTAATTTTTTTTTCTGGGACTTCTATTGCGTGGGGTGAAAAACGAACGCGTGTTTCATAGGTCATTAACGTCAGGGATCTGTTCTAAGCGGTATTTGCGCAAAGTACAAAAATTGTTGCATGGGGGGGGGGGGGGGGGGGGGGGGGAGCATGCCGCCTTCCCCCCCTCCCTGGCTACGTGCCTGCTTCTTGTGTATAAAACATTTACGTACTGATAAAAAGAAATCTAATCTAAGATGCTGCAAAAAAGCAATCTTATTTTCTATTTTTGTTAATACGGCTTTTGAGATGAATACGAGTAAGCTGTAAGGTGTGTTTTTGTTTTTTTAAATGAGTTAATTTTTTTTTCGTAGTTTTTCCTGTAGAATCTAAATACCACCATCATTCATTCCCAAAACGACACTAAACCTGAAAGAAATCAAATAATACGCAGCCGCTCGCCGCCGCCGAACGTCATTGGTTGGTCGAGCCGATGCCATAAAAGGAGCAGGCGCGATTCAACTGGAGCGTAAGCTCCTCGGATTCGCTGAGGTGCTTATTGCATCTTTTCTAGAAAGATGCTCGGAACTGCTAGACTAGCAACCATTCACTGGAGATAAACCTCTTCTTCTTCCACAACCATTCGTTCCGAGATAAGAAACGGATGGGTGTGGAAGGAAATCTTCAGTAAATGGTCGCTAGTCCAGCAGTGTGTTTGTCCTCTTTTCTCTCTTCGTATATCTTCCTATGTTCAGCTGGCGTCTTTCAGAAGCATGAATCATGAACTCAGTATAGACGATGCACGCTGGCTCTGCGAATCGAGGAGCACGCGCGAGGAACCTTTCGTGACGTCATGCTTTCCCTTCTCCTTTTACTGTCCCCTCCCGCTCCCGCGGAGGGGCGTGGTTTCAATGCAACTTCAAAAGCGCCTTTCTATACTCTGTTTCACTTTAAGATGTACCGCAGAAAGGGCTACAAGCACGAGCTCCTTGCCCTGGGGCATATCTCGGCGGCACAAGCTTTCGTGAATTAAGAGCAGCTGCCAACGCTATGAGCTCGCGCTTCTAGCCTTCGCTGCGGTACAACATAAGGTGAAACGAAGAATAGGTGATGCAGGCATAAAATAGCCTTTTTTTTTTTTGATAATTGTGATGCTTGGAGTTGGATTATTACAAATGAAGTGTTTTTAATCAAATTCAAAACCTCTTCAGCTTCCCCTTAACAGTACAAAGTCGTCGAAAATCGAAAAAAAAAAAAAAAAAAAGGATCGAGCATGTTTTGATTATATTTGATAAACTCGTAGACGCACATAATGGGTTGGGAATAAACGGGGCGCATGCTGCGCGTGCGTAACGTCAGCATGAAAGCATGAGACAATGTCGGTAAGGCCAGACTTTTGCTGTGCCGCGGTTCTTCTGAGCTAATTGTCGTTATTATTATTAGTATTATTTAGACGAGTGCTATTGCATCGAAGAACTGGATAAGTTTAACTCCTGCCGTCGGAAGTTTGACAAACATATTAACTCCAGTTCGAGTCGGCACGGAGCTAAGTAACACAAATTATTCGAACTGATAACCTCAATTTTTTTTTGCCTGTGCAGTTGTTTCTCTTTGACATATATGAAGTGTATTTACCTTACGGTGCTGAAAGGCACTGAAATCAACACTTTATTCCTTTCAGTCTTGAAGCCCCCTGCTCAATGTCTTGGACTTTTGTACTATGTCGTAAATGATTTCAATTTAGTACTACTGCCAATGCGTGATCGCTATTTTTTTATGTTCATGCCGTGCACTTTGAACTGTGTTTTATACTCTGTGTGTGCAATAGTGTAAATGTGTATGTATTGTCAATGCATTCGTTGTGTGCTTTTGTTTTGGTGTTTTTAGTTTATAAGTAATTTGTAGTGTGCCTAAGCTTCGGTCTGTCGACACCGAGACTGCAAGGTTGTTCCTGGGCACATAATGAAATTCATTCTTGATTCTTAAATATTATCATTATCGTCATCATCATCATAACTCTCTTCCTATTAGCTTCTAAATTCAACGGCTTGACACCACGAGACAAGACTGTTATGCAAAGCAGAAAGAGATATGACAATAAAAGGAACGCAGGATTACGTATTCCTCGCCGGTACCGAGATCGCCGTCTGCATTCGTGTTAGCTCTTAACCAACTGGTTACGAAAGCACCAATGCGAAGCAGACCGACTAACGCAACATCTAGAACGGTACCATTCAAACACATTCCGCCGTCAAGTTGTATACGAACAAATTATTTAAAAAAAAAACACGTAAATTACAATATAAAACACAGTTCGCAGACGAAACATTCGGTTACATCGCGCCTAATACTTGTTTCACTTTTCAATATTTCACTTTTTTCCCCCTTTTTTTCCTTACGTGTTATTTTGTGCTTTGAATTTTTAGTGCCCATGGGGTCATGCAGCGAAAACCGCGCTGTTCGTTTTAAATGCGATATGCTTCTCGAAGTGACATGCGGTGAAGCCAACTCGGGGAATGGCGTTATATGACTTACGAGTCGCTTCGCTCCCAGGGACGACATCCTCGTGACGTTACTGACATTACTGGTGTTACTGTCGTCCACCGACGGTTTCTCGTCGACGTTTTCGACCGAGGTTATCACGTCCGCCATGGTACAAATACACGCGCACAGAACAACCGCCGGACGACCTCCAAAGCTGTCGGACGATCAAGACCGCTCTTTTTTTGGCTTTATTGTAGCTTTATACGCCCTCAGCTGACAAACATGGCGTCCTCAATATGAAGAGATTGCGTAAAATCACGACCACATAGACGCGCGCTCGCTCCTCTGTTGCTTTCGAAGCTCACTCGGAATTTTCTTTTTCTTTACCTCTTTAAATATTATTTACGATGAGGTTACGATGATTCTAAAGTAATCTAAGAAATCAGTAAATTAATATATAAACAAACGAAAACGACCTTGAAACCGAAACCAACGGGGCAGACTCGTCTGCAAGTGGACTGGTATCTGTTACGATACAATTATCAGAAAGAGAGAGAGAGATAGAGAGAAAAACGTATTTTAATTGTTCGGGTAATCTTCCAGCGAACACTACGTTTAGATAAACCCCCGAACGTCAAACAATTAAACAAGAGCAGAAGGCAATATTACAGAGCGAGTGCCAACTGCGGCCAGAACAAACCGGCCACGCGGAAAAAGGCCCGTCACGCCGCAGCATAGAGATCACGCCGCAGCTAGTGTGGCTAGCGTCGTCTGCTAACTCTGCTAACGAGCAATCCCGCGACAAATCCATCCTTTTAAAACAAATTTACCAAACAAACGATAAAACCCTCCTTCGGGATAAAGCATGCGAGTGATGTCGGTTTGGGGGTCTTGAAAGGCTTGATACAGACCTAAACAAGCCAAAGAAATCGTGTTTAAATTGTAATTTAAACATTAAAAAAGAAAGAAAAAGGCGGAAGTTTAACTGAATACGAAAGTACGGCCAGACATGCGCAGCTGCCCCTAATACGTCACTGCGGTCGTGCGTCGTCTGCTAACAAAACGAAAAATCGATGGAGGGCACTGGCCAGCTGCTCGCGTGCCGAGCGGAGCGTAAGCCCGGTGGCCGTCGGAGTTCGCATTCGTAGGCCTCTAGGCGTAACCACTGTAGCTTGCCGCCAGCCGCGTCGCTACGATTTATATCCTTTGTTTTTTGCCGACAAGCGGCGACAAAACGACAGATGCGGCGACACCACAGCGGGCAAGTCAGGCACCTCTGATAACGCCGCGGTGATGGTACTACGCAAGTCGGAGTACCGCAAGAACTTCAAGTGGATCTCCAGCGAAAAGCGGCACGCCCTGTGGCTGGAGAACGCGCTGTACCGCCAGGACCGACGTCTGCGGGAGTTCGGACACCAGCCGCTCGGATGGGACTCCGACCCCGACGATGTTCCCGACTCCGAGTCCGAAGACTGCGGCCTTCCGCCGACGAAATTGAGGCAGCGAAGGCTCCAATTGCTGGAGATCGCGAGCGAACGAGAGACGCCACCGCCTCAGCGTCGGAGACGCCAGCCGCCCGAGCAATCGCATCGGCGACCGGGCACGTTCGTCGGCGGCGACCAAAACTCCGCGGCGTCGAGTAGGACCTCGCCAGACAGCGGTAAGGAAGCCCTCGTGAAAGAACCGCGCAATCAACGACATCAATCATACAAACCGGCGCAACCATGATGTCCTCGACACGATTTCCGCTGTAACTAAGGGAAACGCCACAGAGCGAGAGAGGGAGACGCACACTACTGTATTCGATGACGCACTTTTAGAGACAAAAACTAAAGATAAAATCTACGTACCCCCTGATCGTGCCGAGAAAATCGCTGCATGATCTCGGAGTTGACGTAGTCACAGCAAACGAAATAAACGCGATACTGAAGCACACGTTGCTACGTAGGCGTAATCGCACACACACACACGCGCGCACACGCAACAACCCTCATCAAAAGCAGACGACACGTTGGAGCGAGCAGGCGGTTAGTAGCAGACGTAGCAGCAGACGCACGTCGTAGCAGACGACGACTGGCCGAAGCTCCGCCCTCGAAAAACCCTCCAAATCAAAACCGTTCGTCGTAATCTGCTTGCTCGCAGCCGTCGTTAACCTTGCGCGTACGATCTACGCTGGCCCGTTTGTATCTTTTTTTGTTTTTCTTAGGTTCTCTTTATCTCTTTCGTTACAGACAGGAGACCGCAGGAAGTCTTCACGAGAAATACTGCGACGCAGACCGAGTGGGACTGCGGACGCGAGAGGGGGCCCTACGTAACTGACGGAGGAAAAGAGGCTGCGTCGTTACCAGGAAGGCAAAGCAGACACAGAACAGGTGAGAATCGCAGTGTACAACACCCATACTGTTTTTCCTCTCTATTGTTCCCAGTAGTGGCAAAGAATGGTCCTCTAGCCGGGAGTATTTTCTGCCTTTCGGCTTCTAGTGCCATTAGTGAACCTGGGCGGCTATGTTTGACGAATGTTTTGTTTCTCCTAAAAAGAAATGGAAGTGACGGAACTGACGATATCGCATATGATTGGCTAGAGGCTCAAACGACGAAAGAGGGAACTTTCGTCATTTGAGCCTCTAACCAATCAGACGCAATATCATCACTTCCGTTTCTTCTTAGGAGAAACAAAACATTTGTCGAGGAGAGAAAGCAGAACTGAAGGTAACCAACGGTGAACAGAAGTTTCCCTCTGTGTTTTTTGCTCGCATACACCCACACACAATGCATGCTTTGATGCTTCATCTGGCCTTTTGCCACTGCTGCAGATCCCCATTAATCTCCATTATATTTGGATTGGTCAAATAGTTCGGAGATTGGATCCTAAATTTGAAATTCATGCCCTGGTTTGCATCAGAGAATCTTGAAAGATTGGCAGACGCGTCAAATGTGCATGAAGGGTTAGGCATGCCCACGCCATTCGCGATGGTGCCTGGCACATTGACGAATGCTGGATAGATTGAGATCTATTTGCGACCTGTAGGGTACGCCACCGTCGGGCAAGTATGGCAGTCTAAAACAGGTCGTGTTGTGTTGGCTCAACGCTTGGGTTTCAGCAGGCTGACATTGGGCTCCAGATAATTTGCCCCAAGTTCTATTCATAACTTTTCAAACCTGCGGCAATGTGTTGGCGTAAGAGAGCTTCCAGAGGCTCAACCTTCTTTGGGGAAGCGACGAAAGGACTGCGGTGCCGACGAACGTCAATAGACGCACAGTGTCTGGTTCACGCGGTAGCGTAGGTTACATTCAGAGCAACCTGGGCCACACGCCGACATAACATTAACGGCAGAGTCACCAGCACAACTGTTTTGTCGCGTCAACGGCCAACATGTAATCACGGAAGCCACAAGGGACGAGCAGAAATCGCGAAAGGACCTGTTCTGTTTGGTCCAGTGTTTACCCATTAGGTGCCGTCCGTTTGGCTGGAGTCGCGAATAGTCGGTGACAAGAGACACTCCACCTCGAGCGAAAGCTTTCTGCTTTTTGTAAAACCTCATCGCACGAGCAGCCAAAGTCCGGCAGAAGACAACGAGCATGCGCTGGAGGCGGGGCCTCTACTAGGTTCCTAACCTGTCACAGACTAGAGTGAAACGGCAATGTCGGCGCCATCCGACCTGAACTCGTGCGACTACTCTAAATTATTTTCAATGCCCAGTGTCCCACGGGGCCGGCGGTGCTTCCCAGAGAGAACTTCGCGTCCACTGTCCCTCGCATGGACCCTTCGAGAACTACGGCTGGGCGGACGAAGTGGACACTGTGTCGGCCAAACGTACCTTCAACGTCGGCGCCTCCACGACGGAGGTACGTCGGCTCCTGACATTCTGCACGCCGTAACCTCCCGTCGGCGACGTGCAAAGGCACCGTTGCGTGTCACCGATGGGAGGTCACCCCACGTAACCATTAGATTTGTGGCTCTCGGTGTCAATGTGAGTATAGAGGCATATTCTGACGAACGAGAGTGAAGTACGCTCGTACGTAATGGGAAGCAGAAGGACAGTTAAGCAAATAGTAACTTCGGAACTAACATTAAAAATTACGTCCGTCAGAAAAGTGTGAACTTTCCGATACGCCTTGTTTCGGCAAGAAAGCGGCGGCCCGCAGCTTCCTAATGCAAGTCGCCGTGACCTACAATGTGCCTTTTCTGTGCCGAAAGTTCCTTGACCACTTTACGTGGGGAACCCAACAGTTTTGCTTAGCTCTTTTTGAGGATATGCCATTGCAGAGCAAAGTGCGTCACTAAAACAAAGCCTCCCCACCCGATCCATATGACAAACGTATCTATACCTATCTCGATTTTGCCATAGGAGCGGCACAATTCGTTGGCCGACAATCTCCAAGCCGCATTTTTTATCTCTTTCTCTGGCGTTGGTAACAATCCACCGCACAATGGGTACGCACACGAGTGTTATCAAGCGCTAGATAACCATAGCAATGAGGTCAAGATGAGTTTACGGGAACACGATTAGATAATGTCCTGTCTGCCACAACACAATTTTATAGAGTAGCACCGTCGTCCTCCTGTCTCATGGCGGGTTCTTCCTATCGCAGTCCGCTGCTGGACACGAGCCACTTTTACGCAAGATCTGCGACAACTGCTTCTCAAAACACGTCGCGATATTCCGGGTCTTGCCTCACGTACGCTAATGCGATGCAAGCTCCGAAGGCTTCTAGGAAATCATAGCTCCGCAATTGGTTGCCTGTGTTGCACGATCAGAAGTTTGTCTCTATGTACACATGGATGCGAGCAGAACATCTCGACTACTGTTAATGTGCCATGAACGTGGCGTGAAAACTTGAGATGCAATATTTTATTCTGCGGTTCCTTCAAGTATACACCGCCTGTAGGTTTGTAGACTTTACTGTAACATCCAGCACAGGGACACAGCATCTAGAGGTATCCTAGAAAAATTATGCGAATAGTCTGCTTACAAGTACTGTACACAACTTTATTTTTGCAGGCTCAATATTTTGCAAATTCGGCGAAGTGTGGATTTTAGGAATATTCCACAGGGCACGAAATTCTGCAAATCGGCGTGGCATGCTATGTTGCTCTTGCCATAGAAAAACATGTTTGCAGGATCTATTTTTCGTAATAAAAGTAAATTCACGAAATTCGCGAAAATTAGGTTCTCGCAAAAATTCAAGTCATTTACGGCACCTTTTTTTTGTTTGTGGTTTACTGGTTATTAAAGTCTTAATTACCAATTAACTGTTTTATTTTCATATGTCCACGGTGAAACATTTGTAAACCTCTGCAACAGTGCACGTGTCTCATGCGACTACGAACAGGTTAACAGGACTTTCAATGAATACATGGCTTATGCGTGTCGTCATCGCACCACGCTGGTGGTCTTTCCAACTTGTTCTCAGAATAACGAATTCGGCAGTGCGAAATATACGCTGCAAAAGGTACACGTTTGGAATCAAGGCCCCCCACAATGGCCACTGGTGTGTTGTCAATGGAAGCCATGTGTAACCCAAAGAACTTGGTAACAGGCTTTAGTTGAGCTAGCTGGCGCATATCGGTAAAGGGTCAGCTTGAACTTAAAGAAACTAAGAAAAAGCGGAGAGGACAGTTAACTCACTCTTTCGTTTCTGCAAAATCACGCGTACCCTTCATCACTAACCCAAAGGCACCCAACTTTGTCTGTCAGCACACAAACCAGCCGTGTCATTGCTGTGTACTATCAGTGAAAAACAGCGTGGTTATACAGAGGCAGGTACAAAATCTTAATATGATCTATGCTTTCAGCGAATTCACTTTTGGAAGGAGGAATAAATTGGCGAACCCTTCTCAATATAAAACAGAACCTGACGGCAAACGCACGGCGCATCTCTGCCACAAACAGGTCTATCCCTCGGCTCTGATGGCAGCAAGGCTGAGACATCGTTCGCCAACGCCGCCACCAAAGAGGAAGACCTTTCGGCCACAAAGGCCGCGATCGGCACCGCCGAAAGCACACCACCACGTCTGGATCTCGGAATACAGGGACCAGTACCAGTGAAACCGGCATACTGTCGATTCGCCCGCCACTGTAACAGCGGTTGTACTTAGTAACCTAGTGACTGCCGCGACCAGATACTGGTGGGGTCTATTTTTTCAAGTAAAGGAGTATTTACACCTCCGATGGTCGCGCGGCACCCCAGGTTTATGGAGCGTCTGCAACCTTTACGGAGACATGTTGGAAAAACAATTTGCACTGCACGATAAAACTTGCAGTACCTCCAAGCTTTGTTTCAACCTAGAATGATCCTCACGTGAAGCACGCGAGCACACAGGGAAAGGAGACCGAGTGTGCAGGCGAGCTGGTGAACACTTGACATGACTGAACTTTACCCCGGGCTCAGTTATGTCGAGCTTGTATGCTCCACTTCATCTTACAATGTACCGCAATAGATGCTACGAGCCATGCCAGCGAATTCTACACTGTGAACGTATCATCTGGCTATGTGCCTAGAGAGCACATGAGCTCGCGGTTGTAGCCCTGATAGTGGGTCATGCTAAGCTGAGACTGAGTGTAGGTCGACAGCATCACTGCCATTTTATACTGTCACAAAATTGCACCTCTCTGGAATTTCGTCATGCCGGTTAATGTGGTGTACTGGTTAGACATGCATTTGAAGGCTGAAAAGGTGAGAGGCATATGGAATTCACCATAGAAAAGCCATGTCTGCGCTCCATGGTGGGTGGAACAGCTTCAAAAAACGAGGACGATAAAAGGAATAGACACGACAGGACAACAGCTGTTCTTTTTATCGTCCTCCTTTTTTGAAGCCGTTACACCCACCATGTCAAAATTCTACCAACTCGTCCAGTTCAACACCTTGTTACAGTCTATGCTACATCTTGACCATATATATTGTAACCTTGGCGTGTAAGCTTGGTAGCCTACAAATGCGCCAGTCTGGTGCAGGTTCAGAATTACAGTACAAACCCCAACCACAAAGCTCTGTTCACTGCAACTGACAGTTCTCTCCAATCAGAGGGAAAGAATGGAGGGTTTGGTGGGAGGAGCCGTTCCCACTTTTCTTGACCTGCAACAGACTACCATTTGTGATCAATGTTTACACGAGGTAACTTAACAACCAGACAGAACCAAAAGGTGCGAGTTTCCGAGGAAACCGTGTTCCATGTGCATTATTTAAGACCCTGCAAGCGCGTGTCAAAATTGTGCTCTAAAGAGTGACGGACCAGCACAAAACGATAATGTCTGGCTTTAACACACACCAGTCATCTGCAAATACCAAAGTATATTTTTTTCTAAGCACATAAACAATGCAAATATCCTAGCCATGTCCTCCCTTTGGTAGCATTTTACAACAAAATAGGCAGGGATATTTTTGTACCACTGCCTCTCTGTATTTACTACGCGTTTTTTTTTATTAGCCTTTATAAGATATGATGCCAATACTTCAAAGTGCCAGCCAGTAACCCAGAAACAAGTTTTTTTCCTTCTTTTTATTATTTTTGTTAGCTGTAAAGCAGCACAGTGCACAGGAAAGTGAGTTTCAAGCTCTGTCAAATAAAAATAATTCCAAAACTATTAAAAATAATATTTTATTTTTTGTGCGAGAAGTTGAACCAGAAAAGTTGTTCGTGCGAGATTGTGACTATGCCAATGAGTTATTTATTCCGCTTGCGTGTTTTATACTAGAACAAACGCCTACCGTCCATCACCATACAGAGTTTGATAATAAACGACTTTTCTTTTTACGGTTTGGTGTCTTTACTTACTCTTTTGGGGAGTTCATGCTGAGGATCGCTGACGTCGCCCCCCGCACCTCCGTTCCTTGAAACCCCGTTCTGAGAATAAAAGATGTAGTAGATTTTTGTTTTCTTTAATGTCTGACCGTTTACGAGAAAAAAACAAAAGAAAAATGCAATGGTCTCGGACGAGTATGAAGTTGTGTAACCCTGTCTTTGAAAGAAAACAAGGGGGAAGAAGAAAAAAAAGTTGACAAGTGAGACGCAAGTGGGCAGTTAAGGAAATTCGACGCTTACCATTTTCAAGGATTTTGGAAACCCGGCAATGTAGTTGGACGCGGGTGGGTGCTGGTTCGCTTGTTGCAGCGAGGTGATGGTGTGAATATGTCAAGCAAAAAGGCCAGAGATCAACAAAGACGGCTGCCAGCAAGGGGGCCGCCGGCGATTTTGGAGTGAATGAACGGAATGAACACCAGAATGATGATGATGATGGCGACGATGCTAACGTCGTCTGCTACCTGCTCCTGCTACATTTGTTTGCATGGGCATTTGACATTTATCTTTATTCATTTGTAATTGAGATAAAAGATATGTAATATTCCCTTAGAGACGGAAAATTTGGCTTGATTGCTTCGTCGGACGACGACGTGTTCTCAGGTAAGAATCAGAAGAACCGTGCAACATGAGATGCAAAAACATGTCCCCCGCGCTCTGTCCTGTCCCCTCTTCTTTTCCTTGGTGTTTGCGCTTTTGAATTTTTATACAATGTGTAGCCAACTAGCCCAACAGTTAATTTTGATTCATGTCCCCCGCCCGAACAAATGCCATGCCATGGGCAACGTTGGCCATGGGTTGGGGTAACCACGGGGTAACCCACTGGGGTAACCATGTTGGAACATTTCATAAAGACGTTAAAATTGTTCTGATTGCTTTCTCAGTAAATGTGTTCAGTTTCACATCACGTGCCAAAATAAACTACGCCTCGCCGAACGTTCATTTTCCCCCCAATTTAGCGCTAGAGGTCCTCAGTCACGAGACCGGCCAGAGTTCCATTCAGCTTCGGCGGGTGGCCGTAGCGCCGGCTTTCCTGCACGCCCTGGATACTTTGCTCCTCACGTGACTAAATTTGGCGAATAGCGGCGCCGCGCGCGCCGCCGAAAACAGGAGAGGAGGAAAAGGAGGGGAACATACGCCGGTGCGCGAGAAACGTCGGCGGAGCGGTGGCTTTCTTGGACGGCGCCGGATGCTTTGCTCCTCACGTGATGGATCTCGGCGAATAGCGGCGTGGCGGCGCGGGGAAAACCGGGTAAAACAAATGCCCAACTCTGCTCCCCCTTCGGGGAAGCATATCGAGGAACTCTAGACCGGCCCAGAGTCTGGACCGGCCGCAATCGACGGTTCACAACTCCTACACGCGCGAAGAGTGGCTTTTCCGCACAACTTGGGATTTCAAGATGGCTGAACGCGCAAAAATAAATAACTTTTGATTAAGATACCGGTTAATGCTGAAACTTTGGCACTTGGTTCGAACCCCCAGCGCTACATTTTGTTAAAAAAAAAAAAAAATAAGCGTTCAGCAATGCAAACGAGAAGAAAAAAAAAAAAATCATTTTATTTTTGCAGATGTACTGCCCAGAAGTTGAACACGCCCAAAGTGGAGAAATTAGTCTTCCGACTGTTTAACATGTGCAAAATTTCTTCGGCAACTTATTCCAGGTACTAAAGGAGCTACCCATCAGTAAAGCCAGCTTGTTCTGTTCGAGTCTCTCATGATACTCACCATCATAAAGCTATTACTACAATTAAAAAAATATATATATATTCTAATTAAACCAATTTTTGTATGTAAATTGAAAATGTTACAGCCAAGTGTTCAAGAACTTGGAAGGACGACATCCAATTTCCAAAAACAAACTTGATGTATTTTCCTAAGAACTCAAGAAAGTGCAAGAAAAATCACTGGGAAACGGCAGGCAGTCAAGGATCAGACAACGCCCCGTGTGAACTGCTAAATTGCTTTATTAAAAGATAGATCTTATATACAGAACATCAGCTGCAGCTTCGACTATATCTTAATATTTATATATATATATAGATGCTTAAAAACAGGATGAGAACAATTAACAATCACTGACTCGCTTGTACCCAAGTACCAATATACAGCAGGGAGCAAACATACCAGATCGTAAAAAAAGGAGCTCTGCCTCACGAAAACATCCAAAAAGCACAGTGGAAGGTAAAAGGAAAAAACCCCGCAAGGTTCAAATCGCAGCAAAAAAAAAACAGCAATTAGTCATCACAACCAAAAATCCAAACTCCCAAACGTTGCTTTACAAACATCCCGACAAGGTGCAAATGCTGTTACATGAATTTATTCCTAGGACAAACAAAGATCATAAAAACAAAAACGGGCCTAAAAAAAACGACGGCGTTAAATCAGTATATTTTATTCCCCTAAGGAAACTGCACTCCTCCCAGACGGACAACTAGTAGTTACTACGAGAGGTGTTCAAGTTAGCGTGTTAACTTGAGAAAGGCAACAAGTCTCCAAAGGGTGGGGTTTTCTCGATTGACATATTTACGGCACGTCCAACTACACTGTGCAAAAACACGAGAAAGTATTGCGATGCATGTACTTTGTTCCAAAGGGCGCAAAGAATTTTAAGGCGCTCGATGGAAATATGAACCAAACATTAGGTGGAATGTTAAAAACAAACTTTTGTGGGCTTCTTTCTTTTTTCTTTTTCTCTCATTGCCTGAAGCATGTTGCATTGAGGGCTGAAAAAAACTGTGGGAAGTGCAAATGCTTCTGAGCGATACAGAAAATTTTTAAAAAAGCTTCAAATGCAGAAATAAATATTTGTGGCTCCGCCAACGCCTTTAAAGCGACTTCTTGGACGCGAGCAAACCACTGTTGCCGGCCTTTCGCCGTGTTCCGGACAAACTCGGTTACGTGGAGACAATAAATAGGGGAGCGGGAGGTTGCCCCAAAGCTCGTTCAAGTACAAAGGGCATGACTAGACAACGAAAATAAACAAAAAAAGAAAAAGAAAAAGCTGTTACGAAAAAAAACAAAAAACGAGAGAGCCGACCAGAGTAACACACATGGCAATTGGAGCTTTGCACCCGCAACCCCGATATAAATGAGAAGGAATTCAAAAAAGAAAAATGTCGAAGGCTCGCATTTTCTTCTTGAAAAGCAAGATGAGAAGTCCTTGGCTATTGTGCATCGACAGGAGCGGATTACGCTGCTCAGCATGCCGTCGAGGGACGTCTCAAACCAAGGGATCGGCCAGCATCGCACGTCAACAACGAGCACAATCCCGCGATCCAGAAGCGGCATTGGAGTCAGCTCGCTAGTCGCCGAATTGGCTCTAAATACTCTAGACTGCAAGGTTACAACCGTTTAATAAACTCTTTCAGACAACCTAAACCAGTGTTCGTGATATGCAGGCAAAAAGCCTACCCCCCTAAAAAAAAAAAATGACAGGGATTTAAGAAAAAAGTTAAAGAAATGTTACGAATTTGGATTTCTCTCATGACACTGTTTGCAGATTGAAAATGAAAAAGAAAAAAAAAAGGGAGCCGTTCACTACTCGCAACGTTTTGTCTGCATTGCCAAAAAAAAAAAATCCTAGCTCAAACAAAGGGATTACTTCAACGAAAAAAAGATAGCGATGAAACCAGAACACGCAAAGGAAGGGTATGTCCCCGAGGGAGGAGGAAGCAGATATTTCGCGACGACGTAGACCCGATGCTTGACCGACGCTGGGCCGGTGTCCTGCCGGACTCAGCCCGACGTCCAGGCGGTCTAGGTTCAATCAGCAAGCGCAATCGGCGGGGGCACGCCTTTGCTGCTGGGTGCGGTTCAGCTTCCGCAGGGTCGCCTCACCGTACTGGATGCCGGAACCAATGCGCTCAGGATCCAGCTCTCCTGAAGGGAAAAAAGAGGTCAAACGTTAAAGGGACACTGACAGGGTATTTATGCTCGCCGAGAATTTTAGTTGTACGTGACATATGAGAGCCAAACTACCCAGAACAGAATTTGCGGCTCGAAATTCGGTTTCTTTCTGCCCGAAAACCGCCGATCGAGAACTGGCCTGTTTGAGTCGCGCTCACTCTTTTCCGAGGGCACGGGCCGTTTTCTAAGGTTTAGACGCGACCACCAAATTTAATCAAAGTCGTGGGTCATTGAAGGTACACACACAGTCAAAACTAAAAATAGAAAAAAATATGAAACCCATTCTTTGTGGCTTCCAAAAAGCTGCACATACGTTGACAGAAAAGAGGTTGCACAGACAACCAAAAGTATTCTGTGCGTTCACTGCATAATTCTCAACATGGCGTCATTTCGCGTATCGTGGAACTCGCGGATGACGGCGGACGACGGGCGCGGGACCCCTACTTCAAAACTGTGGTTCATGAAACCGGCGAATTCTGTCTTCCTTTGAAATAGAAATATTGCACCGTTCAAAAGAATCGATATTCATCCCGTACGACACGCCCGAACAGCAAGCCGACAGCAAGAAGACGTCGCCGAGCTGTCGTCCTTTCTCGTCGCAGAAGACATCGCTCGCTCGAACGTCAAGCACGAAGTGTGTACTTAGTGTTAAATATGCTCGCGTACAGTTTCTTTACTAGGTGCAAATGTGGCCAATGCGTGGTGCTGCCCGACTTCAAGCCGGGAGTGCATCTACTGGAGGGAAATCGGCAGCAAACTTTACGACATACAGTCGACCGGCTGCATTACTACAAACGAAAGAGTTCCTTCAGTAGCTCAGTGGAAAGATGACTGCTTCACACGCAGCAGGGACAAGTGCAATCCCTAATGGGCGTACCTTTTTTTTTTTTAGGCATTTTGCAATGTTTACATTTATTTTTTTACAATTATCTGAAAAAAAAATTGTTGTGGATGATACGTCGCTGAACTAAATGGTATGGGATTCCATTTTTGACACCTCTGCCGCACAATGCCACTTTCAGATGCAGGACATGGGAGGCAACTCTTCACGCAACATCTTGGGAGTATTTTTGTCGGAGCCGATCACGGGAATTCACCATGGGCACTCACTACTAATTGCTAACACTTAAATGTAGAAAACAACTCATCTTAACTACAGAACAGCGAGCGGAACAACCATAACTGCAAACGAATCGCACGGCAGACGGATCCCGCAACGCGTTTCGTCTGCTGCGCGCAAAAGAAAAAAAAAAAAAAAAATTGCACGGTCGGGTGTAGCGCGTGCCTTCCGCCACTCACTCTCTCCTCTCCACTGCTCTGTGCGGTGCGGGGGTTCTGGCTCCGAGCAGTTGCGTTTTTTGGCTTTATTAAAAAAATATGCGACTCTGTAGCAAAATATTAATTGAGTAATATTCCGACACCATAATAAATCGCTTGGCAAAAAATGAAAAAAAAAAACTTTTTGGGAGGTGTCAGTGTCCCTTTAACATCATCGGTTAAATCAGGTTAGGTTAAAATTATGTTAGGTTAGCGTTAAAGGGACACTTACAGGGTATTTATGCCCGCTAAGGTTTTTACAGCAAGCTGTTAAAGGTTACGTTCCCCAGTTTTGTGTCCGTGGACAAATGGATCTCAACGCAACCCTGTGGACAGCTACCGCCATCTATGAGCGACGGTGGCAACCAGACAACTGGCTTGCCAATTGTCTGATTGCCGCCGTCGCTCATAGATGGTGGCAACCTTTCCAGCCCTTCCACCAGAGTGGAAAGGCTGGAAGTCATCGTTGAGGTCGTCCTAGACCTCAACGATGTGTATTATTATCACGGAAGGTTACCGCCAATATTACGGTAGTAATTTCGCTGATGACCTCTCTATTCTAACAGGAGGGGAAAACGGTGACAGCTTCATTAAATTAAAAAAAAATTCTCCAACCACAAAACTAAAAAGAAGTCCCAACGTTTCCAAGCCTACTTGGCTCCTTCAGTGGTGGCTATAGGTCGTACGAAGCTGTCACAGCTTCAACCTCTTCGTCTTTGTAAATAAGAAAGCATTATTTCCTCTTTTTAAGCAGGCGGTAAGGCACCTAGGGATCTGCTGATGTTTCCTGGCATCTGTTAGATGCGCCAGGATCCCAAGAGAAGCCTTTTTCTTAAATTTGGCTCAGTGTCAATCACGTGCGTATGAGAGAAGTCAATCGGATAGTCCCGTGCTTTGCAGTGTTCGGCAACTGCGATGCGTTTGCGGTCGAAGTTACGCATGTCGCTCTTGTGCTGTGACTAAATTAGGAAGTTTTAGAACAGTACACGCTAGAGCTTTGCATACGCAAAAAATGGCGTCATCGCCACTGCGCATGCGCCGAACGCTAACTAGGTTTTCTGTGTGCTATTTTAGCGTATGCCATTTTTTTTAAACTGCGTGCGTATGCATTCTTTGTGCTCCTCCAAAAAGGATTCGCAATGAGAAGTTGGCTAAAGCCAAGAAGAGCAGTTAAAAAACGGTGGCTCCCAGGCCCATGGCTGCAGGCGCTTTGGCGGTGTCGTGAGGGTGACGTCAGCGGCATCTTCGGGACTCTGATTTTTACAGGACGACATTGCACTCGGTTTGTAAAACCCAATAAGGCGGGCAACTATCACCGGCAACTTGATGCTTGCGACGCGCAAACATTTTTTGGCGAAGGTATGGTGTGCGAAGGTCAGTACCCGAGACACCTCTTGCAGAGGTGACGCAAGCGACACGACCAAACGACCGGTCGCGTCGCAATTTCATGTTGAAACAGATCTAAAATATGGTAAGGGTGCAGGCGAGATGGTGAATGTTAACCATGTTGAATTAACCTGAGACTGGGGTAGAGAGGAAACATCAAAACATAGAAGAGACAAAAAATAGACAGGACGACGTCTTGCCAGGAGTGGGCGCGACGCCAATTTCTCCGATCTGAACCTACTGTTCTAACCATGTGTCGTGTGCTATTCTCGTGTTGGTGCGCATATTTAATGTTTGCGCGCTCCACTAGGCGAGTGTGTGCGTGGACGACTGCTCCGAGGATGCGCTACACCCGAAGCATGTTAGGCCTATAGGTCGAGCCGACGGTGGTCGGCTGCCAGCAAAAGCTGCAAGCTCCACGACGTGCCAAAGGTAGAGTTAATTAGAACTAAGGATGGCCTGATGCGTGTGCTATATACGGTCATGTGCTAGTCGTACGCACAGACACGACAGCAGTTTCCGATCAAAACAACAAGCGCCGTCGAATGAACAGGAACGGCGGACCAAGTGAAACATCTGAACTATTGAGCCGAACAGAAATTTTCCACTGGGGTGTCTCAGCTTGTAAACATTAGTAGCAGTATGCGATGAGAATGGAAGTGAATAGTGCATTGTTTGTATGGGCTCCGTAAAGTGCGCTACAATTTCGGACGCGTAAATCGTGTAATTTAGGCATCGTACGCTCTCTTCGGTGGTAGTTTCTTGGGTCATCGTCAAAGTTTACTTTGATGGTGCACCGGCCCTCTCAGGGGTGAGACAGGTGAAACAGGTTTTGGAGCAATTTTTGGAGCAGAAAAATCTGGAATTTGGAGCAGCTTAGGAGCACAAAATTCTCGTTTTTGAGCAGCAGTTTATGCATCTTGGAGAAACTTCGAAGCAGAAAAGTCTACAGTTTGGAGCAAATTAGGAGCAGAAAATGTTAGAGCAGCTTATCAGCAATTTAAATCATAAAAAAATTTGGTTTAAATCACATCAATCCAATTTTCCTTTTTTAATTTTTTTTTTTCATCGATTTTAATAAGTCATCAGTGCCGATACGCACAGAGATAAAATACAAAAGAACAAAAAAATAGAAAAGGCAAACCCGAGTTCAATGCACATAGATGAGGACAAGAAACACAGGCTTGCTGCGAAGTTAGGCAGGCACCAGGTCAGGCATGTAGCCAGGGGGAAGGCCCATGGGGCCCGGGCCCCCCCTGAAATCTTTCATTTTGCTGGGACCTCCTCTCCCCCTCCCCCTCATACAGCATTTTGTCATGGGAGGGGCCCCCCCCGAACCAAAATCCTGGCTACGTGCCTGCACCAGGTACTTCAAGCTTATACGAACTGGTGCCAAAGAGCAATTGTAGTGCAAAACCTTTTAAAGCGGTGATTCGAGAGCATGAACAGGGGGTTTACTACAACCAGAGATCGATCGGACGCTCGTAAAAGCATGTGCAGATAGGAAAAACTCCCCACATAAGCGAGTCCCAAGGTAAATAGTGAATTGGTAGAAAAACTATAAGCAGCACATGCACGCTGAATACGGGTGTGTGACCGATTCATTCGATTGTTCACGCACTGGAAGCATGTGCGGGATAACCGAAAGTACTCATGGCGACGGCGCCATCCATTTCGACGAGAAAATTACGGATACGAATGAACGATTACACATTGGAGGCACTCAAACGCAAGAAATACTTGCTGATCTTGATAGCCTGTGCGTTGTACCTCCTGCGGCCAGACAGCGAGACTGCGTGACAGCACACCGGTAGCATGCGGTCACAAATGACAGCGAAAAATAGTAGGAAAATCGGGAAAAAACCATGTATCATAGGTAGAAAAAAGCACGACAGCTGAAATCTTCGAATGCGGTGGTTGCTTGCGCCACCCTGTACCCGTGCCGTGTACTTTACTACGACGAGATTGAATGTTACCAACCAAGCTCTCGTTTCCCGCTAAATCTAGCATCGTCGCAAACGTTTTTTTAGTTTTTGAGTTACTTTGGTGAAGTGGGGCAGTTTCGAATGATTTTGCGCTTTTGGCGCAACTAGGCACAGAAAATTGGGTTTGTATCAAAATGGTGCAATTGGCACAGATGTCACACCCCTGCCCTCTGTCAGAAAGAAGTTGCTGTGGAATATCAAGTGCATAGATTTTATCGAGGCATCCCGACAGAACCACCGGAGTCGTTTGGCACGACTCCGGCGAACCTGCCAAGCAGCTTGCTTTAATGGACGCGATATTGTGATTTTTTGTTTTTTTGTTGACATTTTTGCGACATTTTGGAGAAAATGAAAGCTGGTTTGCACTCGTTATCCCTCATCATTTTCTTGCATTCGTACTGCCAACCACTGCTCCGAATCGCTGTTTTGAAGGGTGACCGCGTGATTACGCAACGAGGCCGAACCACATTGACCGACTGCACAATTAGTACCAACCAGGAGGCAGAATTATGGAGCAGAGACGATGCGACTGTCATGGAGATGCACATGCGCAAAGTGGAGCAGTTTGTCAGGGCACGCTGGACTGCGCTGGTCTTCACTGGACCGTAAACACAGCCGTTCGGGCGATTCTCGGCGCAGCATGACGTGGCGCAGTGGTCGACGAACGTATGTTTGCACAGGCGCGCGTTGCATTCGTCGACGTTGCGGCAAAAACAGCTTTTTAGGCAGCAGGTAAAATGAAATGTTGCGCTACCGACCGGGACTTCACAAACTCCCAACATATTTTTCTGCAAAATTCTCGAGTGCCAAGGAATGGGCAGCACGTGTAGTTACATGCACTTCACACGCTAACTCCTGCAACGCAGGGCGATAAGAATGCTGCGTGCTGGGACGCGATACGGACGTATACAGAGTGCTGAGACTGCCTACGGAATAGAAGAGCTTGCGTAGAAGTTCCACTCACCCGATTCTATCTTGGCCAGTATCGTTTTGGCGCACTTGAGAAAGGCCTCCTCCACGTTCTCCCCGGTCAGGGCACTGGTCTCCAGAAACATGAGCTCTGGAGAACAAAACGCACAACGCAGCACGTGAATCCCATCTGAAATATTACACGCACTGTGCTACACTAGTCGGCAACCGGTTAAAAGGTCAAAGTCCCCCCTCTTTCCTTCTTAGTAGTGCAAACGCTGGAGAGAATGCGACCTCCTCTCCAGCGTCCCCTCTGCTAAAATGGAAGGAGGGGGGGAGGAGCTCCCTTTGAACTCTTACCCTGTCGCTGACTAGACACATTTTATATTTGCCTGCAAAGTCTTTACCCTGTGCACACCATCGTATTCAATTTACGAATGCAGCCATTGTCCCTCATTTTCTTCATTTCTTGTTGTCTTTTTCTTTTTCACCCACTCGCGATCATTATTGTCCCAAGACAGTAGGCGGCATTTCCGCGTTGGGTTGAATTGCAAGTCGAAGTGCAGTCGAAGACTAAAAGACACAAACATGTGCATGCACAAAATAAGAGTGCATTGTCACTGTGCACTTTCTGGACGCGATTGGATTAGCCACGAAGAACACGCACAAATTAAGGCGCCGAGAGCTGCGACACTGTGCTTCTGGCGTTACTTGATTGGGGCCGTCGGCTCATAGACTCCACTGCGCTCTGAAGGCACTCCACCTTCCTCCACTGATCACTCCTCGTCCGCACGCACTCTTATCTCTATTTTTGGCTCGCCCACAGTCATGATCATCCCAGGGTAGCGAGCAGCGCTCTTCAAAACATGTCATTACTTTTACTTACAGAGGGGCTTTACGAGACGTGAGGAGAGGGAGTGGGGGGCAGGCTACGGTAATTTGGTTATCCACTGTGCGCTTTTTGCAAAAGACGTATTGGTTGCTCGAGTGTTTTCCCTAATTTCTGGTGTTACTGCAAGTGAGGCTAACAATCTTGTGTTTGTCCTCTAGTCAACCAAGCAGGTTATCTGGTGCCAGGAGATAATCTTCTGCCTGTATTGACAGAGGTTATGACCCTCCGATAAACCTTCCCAGAGATAAACGGTGGTCGAGGGAAAAAAAGATGTGCGAGCCTCGTGCTGGCCCTTGTGACCTCATACCGATCAACAAGAATAAAAACCTCTACTCTCTCCATGTTTTAGGAATTTGAAGCGTTCAGCCTAAACACCAAATTACCAAATGCAAAAAAAAAAAAAAAAAAAAAAGAAGTGTCACGGTGTTTTTAGGTATTTGTTGAAGCCAATTTCTACCTTCCGGCAGTTGCCGTGCATTACCATTGCGAGACCCCTCGGAGAAAAGGGAAGCAGGGCGGGCGGCGCCGTTCCCGAAATCGTGCAGCTAGTACTTTTGTTGAACGGGTATTTAAGCCCCACAACATTGAAGATCAATTGCTTGATTCATTTTCCCGAAAATAAGAGCAAAAATAATGGTGCTCCGACTCCAAACTGCTGGAACTTACGCGGACCACCAAGCGTGAACGAGACCTGCGGCAGAAGGGTCACATCCACCTTTGTCGCCGTATCACAGCCAAGGATTGCGGAAGGCAGCAGCATGACAACCACGCACCACGTGTGAGCAGCTCACCGTTTTCCTGGGCGAAGCGGCTGGCCTCGAGGAAGGTGACCTCTCGGTCGTCTTCCAGGTCCTTCTTGTTTCCGACCAGCAGGATGACGATGTTGGGGCTTGCCAGGGTGCGCGCATCCGTCAGCCAGTTGGTCAGCGCATTGTATGTCTCACGGCTGCACAGCCAAAAAAGGAACAAGCGCCGTGGGGTGTCGGTGGGTGCAAAGTGCCCGCAGCTGTGGTCAAGGACATTTCGTCCAGACGACGCGTGTTCCGCGTTGTTGGAGCCAGACCGAGAGAATGTGTGTCGGAGTCCTTGGTGACCAAAACCGTCCGATTAGCTCCAGTGGCTCAGAAATTCATCTGACGACCTCTTTCTTTTGAACCCCTTTACGCTCGAGAAGGTTTCTGTTTTGGGGTGAAACTAGATTTACTTGGTAGCAGCTTGTTGGCCACTGCTAGCAATTGCGAGCTCAATGGTAACACAAAGGCAAGAAAACAGACACAATGTTGAGCTATAATACCTTTTAAATAACACTGCCACAGCTACATCCGCAATTTCGGACACTCACAATCCTGGCCCAATGCAAATAGAAAAAAAAAACTATAGATCGACTAGCTGACGTAGGCAGCATGAATGCAAAACCCCCAAAGACATAGGCCAAGCGCTGATAAACAAGATCACGAGGGAAGCACACAAAACGGAAACGAGCCAGAAAAGCAGCTCAGTATAAAAACACCCACCTGGTGATGTCGTACACAAGCAATGCTCCCGCAGCTCCTCGGTAGTAGCTCCTGGTCACAGACCTACCGGGAAGACACCGACCGTTCGATCACTAATCACCCGTGGACGCCGCACACTCCCCTCAACAAAGTCGTCACCAACGAAACACCCGACGGGAGGAATCCTTGTTTGTACCACCACCGAGCCTCACAACAACCATTTGTGTCAACCGAAAAGTGTGCCCCTTCACACTTTACCCCAAACTCTGCCGCTCACCTGAATCGCTCCTGACCAGCCGTGTCCCAGATCTGGAGCTTCACTGACCGTCCCCCGACGTTCACCACCTTGGATCCAAACTCCACTCCAATCGTGTGGTTGGACTCCGCCTTGACTGGAGTCGTGCAGCGCAACACACAAAAACCACAGGTCAAGCAGGCTCGCTCGACGCTGTCCGATCATTTCAGAATTGCAAAAGTGCGATGAAAGGCGTTCAGAATAGGCAGGTAACAAAATACAGCAAGAGAAAGATGGAGATAGCCCGGGGTGAGGTCAGACCTGGTCTTTAGACTCGTCCTATCCAGTCACCAAACATTCCCAGGCTCCGAAAAATTGGAGCCAACCGACAGCCACATTGATGCCGGCACGGAGAGCCGACAACAAGGTTCTGTTCACAACCGTGGCAAACTACCCATAAATCAAATGCAACAGGCAGGCATTCTCAATAGCTGCACATTATTTTGCGAAGAATCATCGCTGGTAAACTACATCCTATTTATATCGTCGGTCTCACTAGCTCCACCGACTCCTTTCCAGCACCGAGGCTAGATTCATGTAGGGGCGTTAAATAACCTTGAGAAGCTGGGTTGGACAGAGGCGCCCCCTGAGCCACGGGAAGTTTTAGCAGCTACAGTGAAGGGTGATCCTGGGCCCTGCCCGAATGCGGCATACTTACACTTGTTCTCAATGAACTGGTGCAGGAGGCAGGACTTGCCCGTGCCAGCACTGCCGATGACTAGAAACTTGAAGAGGTAATCTGCGAGAAAAGGTGTCTGTCAATTCCGCAAACACAGAAGTCAATGCCACCATTTCTGTAGGGCCTTTCGTTGACCGACGAAAGCCAACGTCCATCCACTTCCTGAAAAACCTTGTGCAACGATGCTGCTACACACACGCATGTTAACTGGCAACCATGACACACTGCCAGACTGCACGGGAAGCACTGCTAAACAATGGGCGTGTAAGCTCACCTAATCCTCGCGTTTTAGTCACCCTCTCCCATAGCACACTGCAAACAACTTGTGCAGTACATAATCAGTATGCTGAAGAATTGGGAGCGAACCAAATACCTCCACCCCGGTGAACCAGTTTCCAGCGATATTCCTCTACACATGTAGAAGCTAGTAACCAAATGCAGCCACACGAAGCGTGCCAATCCCTGTTGCTGATTCGTCGACACATCCCAAGATCGATCGACAGCTGTTTGCCTATCGGTAAAAGCAAACCGAAGGCCAATCGGATACGAGGCCAGGGATAATGCTACTCGAAAGTCAATCATACACAATTCGTTTGCAAACTTTTTTTTTTAACACTTTAGCGTTGCTAGTTGGCCACGCACTTCTCCAAAAAGTCGCCAAAAAGCTCGATTTTGCTCCGTAACCCGACAAAGATGTGCCTTTGACAGCGATAGCCCAAACTGGGCCATGCACCAACATAGCAACACATATCATGGTGGTTCCAGCCAAACTCACCGACAACGGGCGGTACCATCGCGCACAGACCACGGACACCTCTCGACTCAGCTCGAAATTAAGTCGAAGTTCTCAGAAAACGAAGGCACGCACGCAAGCAACGGACTTTGGCTTTTCCAGCCGAGAGCAAATGTCACTCCCGACAACGTTTCAGACGCACATTGCACAGCGGCGAGCCATCGAATCGTCGAAGCCTACGTTTAACCAAAACACAAAAACAAAAAAAAAAACTGCGGCGATGACGCATTTCGGCGTTGAACGTAAGAAAACAAGCATAAATTGAGGGACGGTTGACACTTTCCTACCGGATTTCCTACGTTTGAGCATTGCTTGGTCGGCGGGCGAATCGGCGAACACGACCACGACACGGGACAAAACACGCACGAAAACGCAAGTACGAGATAGACGTATACAGATATGGGTTCAGCCGGGCTCGATTGCTAGCTCGAACAAAGCTCGTCGCCAACTAGGATCACTAAATGCGATTAATTACTGAGCGACGGCAGAAGAGGCTTAGGCCTAGGATGATGGGCTTGGGCCTTGCCGAAAAGCTTCGAAGGCGACGGTGTTCTCACTTTTTTTCTTCTCGAAAAAGCACACGCGGAGCGTTGAACGAGGAAGTACTTACCGTAGGATTCTGACATGCTTGGCAATGTCAGATATGTGGCTTAGGGGCATCAAATTAGAGCGCGGCTACGCGTACGAGACTGCATCTACTTTGTTTTGTATTTTTGTTGGTCCAGACGGCTCGGTCGCCTCCTGCGAAATCCCAACACCTGATAAACAACTGAATACGAGACAGCAGCAGCAGTCACCCCTGTGGTGACGTCACAGCTGTCTGGTCGCGTTCGGTTATTTTCTACTCTTGTACCCAACGATACTGACTCGACTGACTCGGATCGCGCATTACTAACCACGTGATAGCAAATCAAAGCAGTTGGAGGCTCTGCTTGAAAAGGTTGAAAAGGGTGGAAATGGCGGAAACGTGACGTCCGGTGCTAGTTTCCGGCCGGTTCGAGCTAACTCCGAGGACAATTGAAAACTTAGAAACATCATGTTGCTGGGCCAGCTGAGCATCTTTTGATGTTTGAATATTACCGCTTTAAAGAACCACAAGACCCATTTTCGTCACATTTTGCATCTGCAAATGTGCGCTCCAAATGCAGACGACACGGGGTCAGGGAACACAACACGAACTATGCACACATGCACTCAGGCAAAGCCACATTTAATAAAATTTGTTAGGAAAAAGCGTCATCTCTTCGGCCAAACACTCGTGGACGAAGTTGACAGTTGCCTTATCCGGATCCGCCAGATTGCAGCTCACAAACACTTGACAGCCCGTCCGACTCGCAAGTTTGGACGCCAACGAAGTCGACGTCAGGTCCGATGGATCACCGAGGAGGCCCGTGCTCGTCGGAACTTTGTCGTAGGCAGTCTTCATGGCGACGGCTATGTTGGACAAGTTCGCTCTGCGGGATCCGATCCACAGGAAGAAGCTTTTGTTCATTTTGAGCACGAGGAAATGCACAACGGCTTCGCCGAACTTTCGGGAGAATTCGTGAGTCGAGAACCGTGGCTCGAGCTGCGTTGTTTGGCCGGGTTCCATGGCCTGCAAGTCGACGACACCGACGATACACCGAAAACGCAACACGAATGATGAATGCACGCCGTAGAAGCGTAGAAGTTGGTCCAGTCCAGTCGTCAAGGTAAGGACGCGGATCTATTGGCGGCGTCCATGTTGTTTGGAACGGCCTCAAATAAAAACCAAAGTGTACAAAAGTGACAAAAGCGCCTGGGAAGTGGCGCCACGTTGTGTTGGTGGAAGGAACCACTCTTGGAGCCTGAACATGGTGGCGGGAAATTTGAAAAAATAATTCTGCAAAGATAAAATAAAAATAAAAAAGGACGACGGCAGACACGCACATGTTAATCACTGCCTCCTGTTCTTTTTTTTTTTTAGTACGGTTTTTAATAAGTACACGGTCCAAAGCACGCACAACGCGGTCTATCATACACAAACACGCTCGGTCGTTTTGGTGATTCTATCATCACTGTCCTATCAGTATGGTGCCTGAAGCTATTTTCAACGCTATTCAGCACGCGGCGTTGGCATTGATATGCCCGCAGCACTGTGAACACTAAAGAAGAAAATGTCTTCACCGGTGACCACACAGTTTCTTAGAGTTTCCAAAAACAATCTCGCAGTCTTTGTGCTCGCACACTTTATTAACCGAAAACAACACAAGGGGAAGAGAGTTCACGAGTTCAAGAACATTGAGCAAAAACTATAGCACAAAACAGAGATACCACCAAGGGACAACTTCGAAAAGCCGTTCATGCGCACGTAGACCGACCGGCAGGCTGTTTCCACGATTGCGTAGTTGGTGTACAACAAAACAGACATCAGCAAAGTGTGTATAACTTACAATAAGAACTTGACATCCGACATGAGTACGTTTCGATTAGAGATGAAGTCTCGTAACATAAATTTAAAAACATTTTTTCTTTTTTTTTTTTTTACGTTTGTGTTTAGAGACAGCGTTAGGCGTGGTCTATCTTTGAGGTATGGTGACATCGGTCCACGCTGTAGATGAGACAAATGATTCAGAGTTACATTCATTATAACACATCCTATCTAAGAATTTGGCTTTATAAACAACGCTTTCGAGGAATCTAAAAATATTAATGAAGCCACGTGGGCACGCATACGCTTACCTTAAACAACAGGCAAGAGTAATCAATAAAACCGACCATTGTAAAAAAAAAATAAACGATTTGTTTTATTTAATGTACAGATGGGCAGAAACCTTTTTTTTTTTCTTTTTTTTTTTCCACGGGTTCTAGTTGTACCTAGTTTGTTTAAAAAATGTTATGATCCACACAGCAGAGGCGCACTGTAACTGGGATTTAGTTAACCAAATTGGATTACCGGCGTCTTCGCTGTACGTGATTGGTATTTAGTCGGTGATAGCAAAGCATTGAGGTAGTCGAGACCAGTTATAACGAAGTTAACGGGAATCGGAAATCACTTTGCTATAACCGCTATTTCGTTATAACCGACTTCGGTTAACGAAGTGCAAAAGGGAATGGGAAATTGTGACCGCTTCGCTGTAGTCGCTATTTTTCTGTAACCGACTTCGATAACGAAGTGCAAAAGGGAATGGAAAATCGTGATCGCTTCGCTGTAGCCGCTATTTCGTTATAAGTTATAACCTACGAAAAGGACTTGGCGCCAACTCTTTTTCGTCTACTAGCGTCTCTTGGTTTTGCTTATTGTTGGGGTAGTGTCCCTCTCCACAAAGTCATGTCACCTCCAGAAGCCTCCTACCTCCTTGTAGCAAAAGTACAACCCTTAAAAAAATTATCAATGAGTTTCAATTGAATTTTTTTATGTATTCTATACGATAACATTAGAAACTCAATTGAAAATCATTGATAATTTTTGTAAGGGAAAGGACAAGCGCCCATCCTCGTCGGCGGCTTCTCCGAGCACTCCGGTGCGAAGTGGTGAAGCCTACCCTACCATGCACCTCATCCGCATTTTCGCAGTCGGACCTAACAAACAACCTTACCCTAAGTTTTTTTTTTTTTTTTTTTTTACTTATTTTTAAAATTTTGGTGAGTGTTTGCTTGGTGCTTTACGGTATAGTAATTATGTCTCGAAACTGCGACTTCCTGAGATACGCGGTGGCAGGGAGCTCGGATGATGTTGCTTAAAACTAAAAGTGTGAGAGATAAAAGACGTGCAAAAAGAAGGGGAAAAGAAACAAGCGACCTTTCGGGCGCACGCCTTTCCCTGTCGTGGACTGCTCTAACATTTCTGGAGGACGGAGCAGCGTTTTTTGCAACTTACAGACAAAGAGCTTCACTCAACTGCGCCACGATGAGTTTAAAAAGCAAGATGGCCGAAATGCCATTTCTTCGAAGCAGGGTTGGGCAGAGATACTCTAAAATGTACTTCGAAATGCAAAAACTGATAGATGACGAACACAGATAAAATACTGATACTGAAATACGTTCGTACAAATGTATCGCGACACGTACTAGAAATATATTTGAGGAAAAAAAAAATAAAAGTGTTTGGAAATACAAATACAGGAATACGTTCTGCCGGGGGCACAAATACTCACATACATATTTTCTTAAAAGAGCTTTGTGTGACGTGAACTCTTGTATTACCTGAAAAAACTACTATTTGTAAAAGAGAAATGAAACAACGCTTTGCTACATATTTTATCTTTTCATATGAAAGCAATACAAAACAAAAGTAAACATACGACTTTGCTGCTACACTCGACTACATTTGATGAGAAGTATCTTTCCGAATGTCTCGTCGGTCAGCCGCTACCAATATGAGCAAATAGTCATGTTAGCGAACGAGATTAAGCGTCCCACAGGTGTTAAGGGGTTCATATTAAGACGGACCAAGACCACTTTCACAATAAACAACTCTAAAAAAAAAAAAAAAAAAGGTTTTTCATGTGTATGAAGACCTCGTTTGAAGGCTTCGTTGGCAGGGTGTATATCTAAGGCGAAAAAAGAGTCCTCCAGTGAAAACAAGAACTCATACTAACCGCGACGAAAAAGTTGAAGGGGACGTGCTTGAGCCCCAAATGATTTCCGCGTAGAATCGCCATTTTCCTTTTAACATAAAGCTGTGGGAACTAAGCGAGCCTTCAGTAGGTTGGAAATACTTTCCGTCCAGAATGCAGTGCAGTTCTCCTTTAGACATACTGCACGCCTTCGAAGCGGTATCACACGAACCCCTAGATTAGTTTTATATCTACCCAAATATCCCTGAACGGTCAGCACCATCTAGAGTCCTAGACCAATGTCTCTACCTTTTCTGCAGTCACTTCAAGACGTCGCCTTTAAATGAAAGAATGCTCTTTTATCTGATGCTCTGAAAAAATAAACTTTGCGCTCGCCCTAGTCAATGTGGCTTGGAGTGCAATGTACAGTTATAAAGCTCGTACTCACAGTGCCTTCAAGGTTTTTGATTCTACAAAAAATAGTAGCCCAACTGAAGCACCAGATAAATATATATGTTATATTTTGAAAATAGTGAAAGGAGTCTCCAATGTCGGGGCCATAATGTTCGAAACAAACCTTGGTCTGCAGGATAACAAAGTTTCAAGGTACTGTATTTTCCACCCCTTTGAAGCACAAAAGAAGAAAGGAAACAATCTCTTACGCCTTCGCTTGGGGGTCACTGGTCATTGTAACGAGTTATATTTGGCCGGGATTGTATCGCGCGCGATACAAGGAATACACCAACAATGTATTCCGATACTGAAATACAGATACTGACCGAAGAATTGTATCGCGATACAAAAATATACATACTAAAAGTAGTTCTTAAATACAATCGCGATTCTGCCCAACCCTGCTTCGAATGTAGCTTATTTATAAATACTCTAATTACAACTGGCCTGTTTCAAATCAAACAGTCACCGAAGCTATGTTGTCTATAAGCAAACCCGCTCGTTATTTTTCTGTTTGAAGTGTGAAATCTCTGCGTTCAGAATGATTTCTGATATTCGATTGTAAAACGTTTCTGACCCGTAACACGCGGCCTTGCCACTATAAATATCAGCCAAGGATAAGGCTATTGAACATGCATAAAAACATATTGTATTTGAAAACAGCACGTCCTAACTTCTTATTTTAACATGACTTTTTTTTTTTTTTTTTTAGTGGCATTTAATAAGCTACGTACTAGTTTACAACGAACCGTCGCTTATCATATTTGGTGCACGCGTGCATGCAACAACTTTTCATTGACAGTCTGGCGCTTTTTGTTCGACTTTAGGCTCCCCAGTCGAGAACGTAAAACACGTTACGCGATCATTTCTAAATCACTCTGGCAGAAACTGTCTCGTTCGAGCTTTCGTGGAAACGAACGAAGCAGACGAATCTTTCAACGATAGCAGACAACTGTGAATCACGACCCTTAAAAAAATACCAGACGGTGAGAACACAAGCAAAGGGTTCTTTTCGCCCACTAACGGAAGGTGGGAGACAGAGACGCGACTCTCGATCAATTAGTTACCTGCGAAACAAAAACGCAACCACGAAATAAAACATCAAAGAAGAACCGGCCTCATCACAAGAGGGCGCCACCGGAGCGACTTCCAGTTGCCATAACAACGGCGTTATAATGTGCCTAGAGTTTAGAGTGTTTTCAACCAAGCGTCTCTAAGCTCAAGCCAGCATCTTCACCTACTGTTCTCCTCGTCTTGCGGGGAGCATACATGTGACCGAGGAACCAAACTGCGCCAGTTTGAGCAGGTGACGTCCGCCATTAAACTGCAAACACTTAATATGGTTTTAGTTGCTTCCGCTCCTAAACTTGGGCTCTCTACGTACGGTTGCCATAACAACGGCTTTGGTCATAACGTGGCGCCATCTTTCAACAATCATAGGAACTAAACGCTTTCGCTCTCCAGCGGCTTTTGGCTAACCAGCTCAAAGGCTCAAAGCGAAAACACCCGAACTCTCCCACTGTCCAAAGGAGAGATTGTGTTTACTACGCCAGTAGGTTTCTAGTCCCTTGGAAATGGAGAATTGAGCAGCGTCGACTCCACGGACCAACGGCGGAATGAAGTGAAAGTGCTTTAAATCGCGCTAGAATATATATATATATTTTTTAATCGGCGGAGCAGTGAAGTGTGCTCGCTTCCGTCGTCGGCTCCGGGAAAAATGGTGGCCCTCCACAGTGGTCGGCGCGCTCGACTTCGTGCGCTGAGGAAAAGCGTA